TGATACCACCGAAGGGACGTGGATCATTGCGAATGTCTCGCAGAGTACGATCAACTGCTTCTGGAATGTACCTGAGTGATAGGGGATGCACATTAGAACATTTCAACTATCAGTAGTTATGAAATGTTCTTACCGACTCTGCATTGTGATCTCATCCCAGATAATGACATGTACCAAGGAAAGCATCTCAGCACGGTCCGATCTTTTGTCAATGTTGCACCAGGAGTCATGCGAGAGATGATCTACAGGAATCTGGAAGGTGGAGTGTGCAGTGCGTCCGCCAGGAAGAAGAAGTGCAGCTATTCCCGAGGAGGCTACACAAAGTGCAATCCAACCTTTTGCACGGACAGCATGACATAATGTCTTGTATACAAATGTCTTGCCTGTCCCTCCAGGTCCATGAAGAAAGAATAGCTTTCCCTCGCGGTTCTCTGTTGATGAATATATCTTGTCAAATGCGTATTTCTGATTGGAGTTGAGCTGTCTGATTTTCTGTTCTGCATATTGCGCCTCCAGATCAGGATTATACTGAAGTTGCTCGACAATGTAGGGATTGTCATGAGCGAGCTCCCAGTCCTTTTGAAGATGGGGCATCAAAGGATAATTGGCAAGAGATTTACCATGTCGAAAGAGAATACGCTCCAGAAGAAACAGGCCAAAGTCATAGATGTCTTCTTGTGTGGGGTTCCGCAAATGTGTGATCTCTGATCTCCGATTAAGATCATCACATAGGTGTTCACGGAACTCAAACCATAGGCATTCGGGTTGTGTTGGCTCTCCGTGCTCCAGTATGATAGCAAACAGCTGCCGAAGCTGTTGTCCCGTCTGCATAATAGATGCCTCAAGGAGACATTGACGCCACTCGTCATTGTTCTCTAAAAGACCTCGGGCAAGGCAAGCATCTCGGAAGGTGGGGTGCACCACATGGTTATATGTGCGAATATCCTGCCAGTCTTTTACGCCCTTCACAATGGTGAGGAGGGTGCGCAGATAAAAGCGTTCACCTGCTGTCGGGGGTACAAAGTAGATGCGCCCAATGGCAAACCCCTTCTTTCGTATAGACCATTGTTTCGAGGTTGTGTTCCAGACAAAGTGTTCAGGAAACTCTTGATAGGTATATTGAGAAGCAACAGCTTGTAGGCGAGGAGATGCATTGGCTGCAAAGAATGCAGTAAGCATTGTGCGTTCTTGTCGAGCGCGTTCCATAACGGTCTCCAGTGGTTCTTCAGGATCGAAGACAACCAAGTGCTGGCCTGGTAGATGAATTTGGAGACGCACAATGTTGGGATACTGGTGATGAATGGCATTCTGGAGGATGCGCCAGCAGCTTTCAGGAGCAGCAATGTATCGGCCATTTCGGAACTCAGATACCTCGTCGCGTTGAACAATCTGCATTGTCGCACGATCTGGGCCCTTGTGAGTGTACTTTGTGATGTACTTTGCAGCAGCAAAAGATACAACACACTCAACATTGATGTGACATCGATATCGCCGAGAGAGATATGGAGAGTATGGAACAATCCACCGATTGTCAAGAAGAGTATCGCTAGTGCCAATTGGATATGCACGTCCATCATCTGGGCGAGCATAGATAGGGTAACCATCTTGTGTCATAACGGTCTCTTGTTGAAATGACTTGGGGTATCCTTTTGTGCAGCGACGATCTTGCATACATGGTGCTGTTGGGTTGAGGGCACCACAGGGTCCATGAACCATACATTGCTTCACAGTTTGAAATAGCTCTGGCTCCATATCAGGGTCAGGCCACCATGCACGAACAATAGAATCCACATCGGAGGGGGTGATAATGCGAGAGCCACGTTCAAGGATGAGTAGAAGATGCATATGTGGAAGACCTCGTTTCTGAAATTCAATGGTGTAGACGTAGGCAACAGAGCGACCAAAGATGCCATTCTTGTAGAGATCATCAATGAGAGCTTTCTTGTAGAGTGCAAATACTCATGCAACCAAGTCGGGTCGGTCTGCAGCAGTCTGTCCTGGTAGCAGCTCACGAATGATTTCTGGCCATGTGGGATTGCATGTCATTGTTATGAAGAGGTCAAATTTATGGAAGTACCGTGCCAGGGCCATCGCATCTTGAAAGTGCTGATGCATATAGCGTGGTCCTCCAACATACGAAGAAGGGAGGACAGTGCGACGACCAATTTCATGCAGCTCGAGATTGTCATCGTTGCGAGCAACGGCATCCTCTAAGCCACTGTATAGTGCTGCCCGCAGTTTGGGCTGGTTCATCTCCATCCACCGTAGACGATTTTGATCTGTTGAGACCCAACTATCACAAAGGTACTGCTGGAAAAGACGTCCGCCATGGTGAAGAATTGGGAATTGGTTTGGGCGGACATGAAGCTGATGAGAGTAAAACTGAACCTGAGTCAAACGACGGTGCCTTCGTGCATGTGCCTCTGGGTCTTCTCTAGCTTCAGGGTCACTGCTGGAACCATGGTCTTCATTGTCATGCTGGGATTCACGGTTGGAACGCTCTCGAAGACGCATTGTATGGGTCCATCCGCGAGTACCATAGGGAAAGAGGAGAACATAGCTCAGTGGTGCATACAGGGGAGACATGTCAGAGATATGATGAAGACGTCCAGAGCGCCGGCGGAGGATGATATCGCGGGGGTCAAGGACTTGATTTTCATCCCCAGGGATAATCACTGCAACCTCATCAGCAGTAGGAAGATTGTAGCGACGTTGATCCTGCTGCGGATCCGCAATGAGGCGAATCTCAATATCCTCCGCTGGGTGCTGCTGGAGGATTTCATATGCTTGCATATACACCCGTGTGTAGTGATGTGAATCGAAGATGACACGTTGTAGAGTAGCCATGGTGTTTGGACACAGATTGGGGTTGAGCTGCATTCGGTAATGAAGAGCATCTTGCGCATCATAGAAGTACAGCTGTGCATATCGAGGCCACTGTCCCTCCAACGGAAGAAGACTGCCTGCACGATGGAATAGCTGATACCCAACCTTGTATATCCATGGCCCACGACCACCATGGTTGACGTCCTGTTCATTGACTTCGTAAGAGGTGAAGGATAGAGCAAAGTTGTATTGTCGGACATTGAGACGGAACTCGCGAGATGGAACATCATCTCCAGTATAGAGCGCACGGAGTTCGAGGGGTGGATCTGGAAGCGGATCGAGATGAACTTGACCATGATGGCAGCACAGACCGAACTCTGGCCGCGATGCAGAGCTGCGGACAGACTCGCCTATCCAGTGTAAAGCACCACAATGTCTACACTGCACATCCATGCGACCAAATTGGACAGGCACTATGGCATTCTCTCGATATGCCTGTCGTGCCACAGGTACCTGCATGTGAGCCCGACGGCGACGTCGGGCTTGAGGAGGAGGGGTATTGGATTGTACTTGTGAAGGGTTTGGATGCAGATCAAATTGTTCGCGTTCGTGCTCACGTTCCTCACGTTCATGCTGGCATCGAAGTCGCTGAGCAATCTGCCGGCGAGTCAGTGAACCGGAACTTGTATTGCCTTGAGGTCTAGGTGTATTGCTGAAGTTGGTGGTTGAACTTGAGCGGGAGGCTTGCAGCTGATGTGTACTTTCAAGATGCCCCGGAAGCGAGTCTGAACAATGCATTGTCAGGAACTACAGTCAATGGTGAGGAGTAGAAATAGTACATACCTGACCTGCTATTGCTATGAGCATGATTCGCAGTATGCGAGGCTGGTTGTGACCCAGCATCAGAAACTGCACGCGGGTTTGTTGGTTGTGTAAGAGGAGGGGTGAGGAGACCTGTATGTGGAACAGTTGTACTTTCTGGACTATGGGAAAGCATCCCAGTCTGTCCACGCTCCCGTTGACGTCGTTGACGTTGTGCGATATGCCGTGCACTGAGACCGGTCGTTGACGAAGAGCCAGGTTGACATTGCTGGACTGAAGGCTCAGGACCAGATGCGCCATACTGCTCGGCAGAAGAGGATGGCTGAAAAGACCTGCTAGAGACATCGCTGCTGGAGTGTTGTGGTGTACTGGTGCCAAGTGATCGTTGCTCGCGTTCGCGTTGTCGACGCCGTCGCTGTGCAACCTGTCTAGCACTCAACTGTGGAGTCTCAGCCTCAGGAAGAGAGACCGTTCGAGTTGCCGGATGCACCACTGTAAATGGATCTGGAGAACACCGTCAAAACAAATGTCAGTGAGCCAGTGATTGCAACACTGATTAGTGAGGAAGGACTCACCATCACTTTCTGTGCTAACATTCCTTGCCATGCTTGGTTGCGAGGCTGAAGGAGTCAGTGGGAAAGGTATAGAGCTGACATTTGAGACAGCAGGCCTATTCCCAGGCAGACGTCGATGTTCAGGGCTTGTTGGGTCTTGTGGACGCCGACTGCTTCGTACTGAGCGGCGATGCCGCTCGGGCGTGGTGGGGACCTAGGAAATTAGTACACCATGAGGAATACCGAGTACAGTAGCAAAAGCTAACCTCAGGAGGCCCATCCATGATACGGGATCAAGCAGAGTCAATGAAAGAATACACACCATGTAATTAGGGAAGCTCGCGCTGCATAGCGGAAACGCATGTCCGCTTCAGCAATCGATATACACAGATTCACGATCGGCCGCTTTGATGGCCAGGCCTCATGTTTAGAAATACCGGTTGAGGTGATCATATTGGGCGTAGTTTTGGTTCTAATAAGTTAAGTACAGGACGGCTATAGAAGGAATAGTGAGAAGAAAGAGAGAGCGGAGGCACAAAGCGTTCAAGATATCGAAGCAAAAGGCGGTGCAGTGACTTACCGGCTCACCCGCAAAACGGTAGCCAATCAGATGGCGTGTTTGTCTGGTCGCGTTTGTCTCGAAGCGCCAGCCAATCAGATATCAGCTTTGTCTACGCGGTGGAGCGAGCGCGACCCAATTTATATTATAAGAGATATATATCCTTGACCGCGGTCGGGGTTCGCATGACCACAACGCAAAATTGTAAAAATTGGCGGAATGCGCAGGCAACGAACTATTGCACTAAGGGGGAATCGAACCCCCAGCGGGTCGACACAAACATCGGAATGGCAACGACCCAGGTTACCACTACCCCATTAGTGCCTTGCGAATAATTCAGGTTGATGATACAAGATAATACACCAGTCCCCACTAGTTGGTGGCCCTCAAGCTGGCCCGGTCAACCCATCGCGAATCGTAACGGCCTCTACTGCTCTTTAGTCCATATGATTTACAGAAGTAGATTATGAAAACATCGAGGCCTGATATCTTTACAGAGCGAACCAGGGCATGCGCATGACTCCACTATCTTCACAACTCGGAATTGGGCCCACTTGCAAGCCTCGTACCATTACTGAGTACGTGGTATTATTAACCGTGACGAGAGAACACACCAACGTCACCAATTGTGAGACCTGCCTGGAGACGCAAAGTACTCGTTGATGGCAAGGCAACGAGGCATCCGACCGTACGTGGATGTAAGTAAGTCAATTGGAATTCAATTGTGCACACCCCATATGGCCATCCGTCTCGGAGGCGTATCACGATTCTGGACATTTGAGAAGCCATGCCCAAACATAATGTAGCAACACGCCGTCGCATAGCACAAGCATGGCAAGGAAATCAGGTTATTTGCAAACGACGAAGGAAGTGCGCTTGCCTCTTGGAATAGTACGCCTATGTATAACCGGAATTTTCGACTGCGCAGACGCCCCAAAGACATAACAGTGTCTTTGCTCGGAGCCACGAGGTCCGGATGTATAAAGTCTTCCTCGTTCGGAACGCCTGTGCGTAGGGAAAGCACGTCGATTGCTCTAGATTTTGCGTCTCCTGCGAGTCGCAGATTCCCCAGAGCACTTCATCTCCCATCCAAGGGACTGAAACGCAATGACACGGAGGCGTCATCGAGGGACATATACTGGAGGGATACCTCACCCAGTGAGTAATACATTGATTCAATGAGCGACCCACCGCTTATCACCACATCTCATAGGGTGAGGACGCCACCAATGATGGGAGGCATATAGAGGCATACTTTGCCCAATATCCCTCCTTCCACTTCGATGCATCAGTGCAAGTCACTGAAGAGTTCCATAGGCTATGCGACCAGTTCAAATGGGGCAAGAACCGGAGGGAGCAAGAACGAAAGAAGCTGAATGAAGCCTTGGTCCTCCAGTTCAATGAGTTCTTCGGTACCAACGTTGACAAGTACGAGTCGTGGAAGTACCTATGTCAAATCCTGGGAGTCACCGAGATTCCTCCATCTATAAGCAAATGCAGAGCAGTGAGTCCAACTCTAGCTACTTCCTTGTCACCTGGCATTGAGGACTCGCCATACAGATCATACAGACCATCCACGTCAACCTGGTTGACCTCGTCGAGGCTCGGAGGCTTTCTGAAAGCGTGACTATATTCCCAAACGTGCATGAGTTGCGCAAGTACACTTTGGAAAGTGATAAGGTATTTCCAAAGAATCACGCAAAGGCCGGAGGGGTCCTGAAGAGAGAGAGAGAGAGAGGTGTATTTTAGCTGCTGTCGCCAGTGAGAACTCTCCGTGCTAATACAAGTACACTGAAGACAACAACAACGACTGACTACTCAGAGTATACCTTACTCCCGCTACCCACTCCGTCCCGACCCCACACCTATGCCACAAGTACAATGTTACCTCAAACATTTCAGACCAAATATGCCGTTGGATGCGCTAGAAAGCAGGAGCATTGCGCTACATAGGGTATTTCGCATACAACTGTATCACACTTCCCCTCCGAGAATGTCCCATTGGCAAAAACCTGTGCAGGCGAGCTGGCCCAAAAAACCTGAGAGGAAAAAATCAGGGTGCCGCCGAGGAGAAAAAATGCAATGAGAAATGATAGGGGGATTTGGTCTCACCATTTGAGGTGTATTTACATGTAGGCAATGTGCTCATAGATGTAGAGCCAGGCCAGGAGGGTATCAAGAGAGGTAGGGCCAGTAGCCGGCCGCCGACTATGCCCGGGGAGGGAGGCATTGATAGGCCATGAGCGAATCAATTCGGAGCAGTGGAGTAGCTGCGCATAAGAGGAAGACTTCGGAGACATATTCGCTGAAGACGTTGAGCAATTTACGGCGCGATATGAGGTGTTTGATGATGTCCATCCCGCTCAAGTCCGATCGAAGTACATGCACGAGGGCAGGCACGAGGACGAAAGCCCGCGTGAGGAAATGCTCGGGCAGTTGAGTCAGAGTCGGATGAGATTGACAGGAGAGTAGGAGATGGGCCTCATCCTCAATACAGCCTTGACGACGACAGAAGCGGCAGGAAGGGTTTGTTGCGTCGCATATTCTGAGGCCGAGGCTAGGTTGGCATCTTACTATTGTCTCCAATCGAATCAATACATTCCTTCGCACATGAATATAAAAACAGATTTGCAGATATTTGCTGCTCATGGTAGTAGTGGTATGAGTCATACCTTGAGGACGTTTGCATTTGATGACTTCGAACAAAAAGAGTGATGAATGATGGCGGCCAGTGATTGAGCAAGCGCCGCCGCCAGAAATTGCGACGCGTCGGGCGCGTTACACCACGTGACAGTCTGTCGAGCGTCCGCCAAATATTCTGGCTGTTGGCAGAGCCTGGCTTCTCGTCCGACTACGGCTCTGATTGTTCCCCTACCCCCTCGCTTTCGAACGTGCAGAAGATATTCTGCACAATCGAAGATAGAGTCACTCGTGTAACCTTTCCTCTGTAGGCGGGGTCTGCGTTATTACGGGACCATGTCATTAGGCCTCCGACACACATGCATTGACATTCTTCTCCGGCGAAATCCCCAAGTTCACTCAACGAACTCCCAACTATGGAGGACACGTATATACACTACTAAACGGGCCTATGCCTCAGCCTCAACAGGAACCCCAGCAAATGCCATGCCCTCCGCTCTCCAAAAATCCGACAAAAAGCACCACGTCTCGACGAATACGACTGCACCTGCAAAAGCTTCTCAAGTGTCTCTGCAATCCCCCGGGAAGAGGACACAAGCTATTCAAAGCGGTGGACAGGCCCCGAGTGTGTTAGTTGAGAAGAAAACACAGAAGGAACCGTATGAGATGTCCACGGAGCAGAAGTTACAGGAGATCGAGAAGTTGTCGATGTATGAGCATTTGGTCCCCTTTGACGTCTGGGCTCAACCTGCGCCTACGTTCGGTAAAGTTCATTCTCCACATAAAGGGTGCTCTGTTGTGATTAACACACATGTCATGGAAGCGCAGATTTGCTCATTCCGAGCTGGACATCGCCAAAGAAGGACGCAACACTGGGTGACCACATTCGTTCCCATTTCCTCTCGCATAGGAATTTCTGGCAGAATCTCTTCAGGTATGGCGATGCGCATCGAATTTTGTGAGCAAGTTGACAGATATTGCATTCGTTCAGTATGTGGAGACTGGCCAGAGCGAACTCGTTCCCGGGTGTCAAGCTGAAGGGTGCAATCTCGCCAAACCTATTTAGGATACAATCGACCCCTTGGTTAGCACCCTTCAGGCAAATGGCGTTGGAAAATTACCAAACTATCCAACAAGCCGTTGCAGCGTAAGTACTGTTGCCTGATACTCACAACGCTCTCCTCATTCCCTCTCCATTTCTTGCTCAATGACGAATATATCTTTGTCCATATAGTGGGGATGAAAAGACTATCAAGAAGTATACCGTAGACGTATACAGGACAAGGGCACTCCAACTCGCGCGAGGTCGTAACCCATCACATGTCTACGTCTGGAACTTCCACGGGGAGAACTCACCCTGCAAAGTCGTCTCAATCCGATGCACGGAGGCTAACCTCAGTGCTGAACCACCCAAGATTGGCAACAGACTACTCGTTCAAGCGTTGGTCAAATTCGACACGAACCAAGTAAGTGCTCCTTGTGATGGTTATACATATAGGATTGCCCCTCACCGTTGATCTCGCCGGAATAGAGTCTGCAAATATACAACAAACGGGGTGTCAAACTTGGAGGAGACGAGAACCCGCGACGGGTTGTTGAGTATCTCGTGTTCCAGAAGCGGATGTGGTATGACACGCCTTGGGTCGTTCGGGACCAGCTGTATGAAGGGGTTGATGCGAAGTACAATATCGTACCGAGCTAAAGCGCTACATTACTCACTAATACTATGCCTAATGCTGCTCTGCTGATACCTTGGGGACTTTGATGACGCGTCGAATGTCGGCGGGCACACAACACATGGCGGAGGTGTGTTTACGAACGAGACTTTCGACACCTCCCTCTTCCCAATGATCTTCACTCTTTGCTATCTCTTCCTAAGATATAACAGTAGAAGTACGTGTCCGCGTTTTTACGCGACCCCTTTATGATTTTGACATCTTGTTCAGTAGTAACTCGCGGTACCTCTGAGCTACGGCCGTGTGAGGAGGCTACCAACAGGGGTGCAGCCGGGCTTCAGGCCCTTTGTTCGCGAAGCGTTCTCCAAGTGCTCGTTCTATCACTTACAGTGCTTTGCATATGATCGTGCCGGTTGCACTCGCACGAAGTTGTTTGTACGAGCCAAATAGTCACAGCGGGTCACAGCGGGGTCACAGGAGGGTCACCCGTTTCCGTTACAATTAGTTTTCGAGTTCAAGTTGTACAAGCATCCACATTCGACGACGTTCATTCGAACATGCCAGTAATTGCTACAGACACTCGATGGCTTATAGTACGGTGGTGTGAAGAAGAGAATATCACCCAATGCCAGGCCGCTCGGCGTGCAGGCTGCAGTGAGCGTGCAGTGCGCAAGATCCTCGCTTACCATCGCGATTATGGAACTGTACACAATCCTTTCGCCAATCTCACACCCGGTCGCCCTCGTAAACTCAAAACTATTCATGTCGACTTCATTTCCTCTCTCTGTGCTCAAGATCCTGCACGATATCTTGACGAGTATCGCGAAGCACTTTATGATGTGCATGGCATTGATGTTTCCGTGGCCACCATCTGTCGAACCATGCATCGTCTGTCACTTACCAACAAACAAATAGAATCCGAAGCATTGGAGCGTAATGAGATAGTACGCAATGCATGGATAGCACGCTGGGGCGATGTTCCCGCTGAATACTGTGTGTGGCTTGACG